TTCGCATGATAAGACCCTTATTCATCGTCTGGTGTCGTTTAAAGACATCTGAAGCTGCATCTGAAACTGTTATTAACTGCCTTTTGGACCTTGGACCGTCTGGTTCCCATTGAAGTCCATTATATGGAGAAAAATCCTGGAATGTTTTCATCAAAAACCTTAATTTCTTTTTTTGGACTGGGGAAAGAAAGACATGGACATCTTGGATGACATGGGGGTGAGTAAATTATCAGCAAACGTTTTTTCAAAAGTGAACTAATCCTTTAAGGCCAATTTATACTTCTGTGTTGAGGGTACGCAGTAGTGTACGGAGTTGGCTACTCACGTAGGCGACGCCTTTGTGAGCATTTATACTTCTGCGTTCAGATCTTGGTTGCTCTGCAGTACTGCTCCGAAACGCTAGTTGGCGGCGGAGGGCTTTAATGTTCCACTGTTTAGATTCCTCGAGTTGCGGCTAGGTTAAGAGAGCAGATCATGTTGGAGTTGGAGCTTATTGAGGTGGAAAAACAGTTAATTTTAGTGAAATTACTAAAACTGAAAGACAGAAATGAGAGAAGACGTCGGAGGAGATGGTACGTGTGGAAATGCGTGAGAAGGTACGTGCGGAAATGTGTAGGAGGAAATGCGATGCTACCAAGCCGACCAATCACCGATCTTGCGGTTCGCGTCGTCGCGACATGTAGTTACATTTTTGAGGAGGTGCGTGTCAGGCTACGGCGAAGGGTACACGGTATGGGACGCGTCTCTGCGTATGCTACGCCATACATACTGTGCGCACCCTACGCAGAAGTGTAAATTGGCCTTTACAATAGGTTGAATGACATGTCTGCCATAGCCTGAAGGTGTCTGTATCGCTTTTACTAGCACTTTGTAACTTCGGGGTTCGGGTTTCGGCATACGTCACTTCCCCCACCACCCCAAACTTCCTCAGATTCTGACGTTAGTAATTAACTTGCGTTTGATTGCCGTCTGTATGTTTTCGTCATGGCCGAACAACAGCTACAAGGAAGAAGGCAACGGTTTTATCAGAGGACACTAAAAAAAGAAAAGGGGAGAGTGACAAATTAAAAGCCAGGACGAGGATTAACACTGGTCCAGCTTTCGCTTCGCTCGCTGGCGTGAGAGGAAGGGTGCTCGACCGATACGGACGCTTGCCTGCGCACAAATGCCGTTTCCAAGGTAACCCAGATAAATTCATATAAGCAGTGTGGTATTTTCTGGTATTCCGGCCACAGCCGATGGTGTTATGACTGACTGTAATAAAATGCCCACAGCCCAGTGTTCATTTCTACACACAAACACAGCCCGTGTCAGTGCAGGGCTCGCAGTAATAAAATCACCTCATGTCAAATGTAACGTTACATTAAATGTAGTGAACGTGCCCATAACTCAGTAGTACCCACAAACACTAACGTTACACACCACATCTCCCACGGTTTCTGTAAAAATAAACCAACACACAGTCAGCTCAGACCGACAATGTTTTCAGTGCAGTGAATGTTCCCGCTGTTCCGCGTCCACATTCACTCACAGACATGATAAGCCCCACAGGGCTCACCCCGCTCGCTCTCTCTCAGCCGACTGCTATAGGGGAATCGAGTGCGGCGCGGCTGCTCGCCTCAAACACTGCAAGCACACACAATCTAAAGACACGGGAGGCGACCGGTTAACTGTTTGTTGACTTTAATTTGCGACAGTGCTACGGCGCTTGTGGCCTCTAGGGACGCTAGACGTGAAAATTACAGGTTGAGCACCATCTAGTGGCCAAAAAGTTCCGCAGTGTGCCTTTAAATTTCTTTTTGATCACTTTTAGACAGAAAATCTAAGGAAATTATACAGAAAGATAATACAAATATAATTTCACTCACCAAACCTATCACTTGAAGCAAATATCCATCCCTTCTTAAAAATCCACGCCAGCGAGCGCGTTGGACCGTTTAGTGAAACCGACGCACATATAGCCTATAATCTAACGGCAGATGAAGTAAAACCATATGAGTCCATCATAAATACAGTGCATGTTCACAATAACAGTTTAAAAATGAATGATTTAATGTTTTACTTTTGATATAAACATTTAGATTAAATATGCCATTCTCATTAATGGTGTTTAACACTTAAACATGTAATCATTACTGAGAAGTTACAACATTTTTATATTCAATAAATATAAATATTTGTTGTGGATGTGATGCTTTTGAACACTTCCTCTGGCATGCTGTCTGTGTTTTAATGTGTTAACTACATAGCTTATCATGATAGCAGATTGTCTGAGAAAATGGTTTCGTGCAAATAATGTACAACAAGGTCTATCTGTTTCCATTTAAAATATAAATCAATTAAAATACTACTTGGCCAGTGGAAAAGATTGAGAAAAACTTTCTCCGAAATGTATTTTGCACTATTTTATTTAATAAAAAAACAACAAAAAAAAAACAAGGGAAGGATTGGGCTACTAAATGATTTTTATTAATGTAATGTGACGGCACTCGTATTTCATATTTTCCTAATGTCTTGTACCGTTAAACATGTTATCATGGGGATGAATAATCATATGCAAATGATATGCAGATGAGGATATGCATAGTAAAACTAGGCGTTATAATCTCCATATGGTTATTTCGGGGAGGAGACGCATGTGCGCACAATCTTCCACTGACTGGGATTTATAAAGTGAATTCTGCGCAGGTTCTGGCGTATGCACGGTTTTATAAGTCTGAATATTTTTTCGACATTTTTGGCTTTCGGGCGCACGTACACTTTTAGTAAGGATTCTACGCACAGTTTTATAAATGAGGCCCCTGGAGCTTAAAAACATATTTTTTTAAGAATAAAATGTTCTAAAAGAAAAGCATTTATTTGAAATAGTTCCCTCAGTAACATTATAAATGTATTTACAGTAACTTTAGATCAATTTAATAAGTCCTTGCTAAATAAAAGTATGAAATAAATATTAACTTCCTTCTAGAAAAAATTAAAGTTACTGCCTAAAAAAACGAGGTTAAAAAAACCAGACACAATTCAATCACAGTTCAGCTCCTGAAATCCCTATATTCCACTTCATCTTTTATCTGAAATGCTACCAATTGCACAAGAACTTCAAACACTGTGAAATGTCTGAACAACATCTTGCTCCATCAAAACCGCCAACAACACATCTGTTGGTAATCTTCAAACAAATTAGTGAGCCCTTCCTTTAGTTGTGGAAGCATCCCAACACACATCTTCCCAAAACACCAATCACTTTGAAATCACATTCACAGATATTTAAGAGAAATATTTTATACACAAACATAAACCACCATTGAACTTGACAAATACAGAAAGGGTTATTATGATACTCAGAAAGAACATACGGGAAACATGAGGGACATCTTTTTCCCACACACACTTTGAAACATCTCAGCAGGCCTTCAGTTTTCCTATATTGTGAACATACACACATTGCAACAGAAACCCTCCCACTGCTTCAGCTCCAGGAATGTGTTTTGTTTGGAGGCCTTTTTGGTGGTTTATTAGATCTTAAGAGGATGGCCTCCAAGAACTCCAACTTTTTCACTTGGGATGACTGTCCTGCTGAAGCCAAGGATTCAAGAGCAGCCCAAACAAGCTGCAATTCTTATTGCATAAGTCTCTTTCCCTGGACACAAATGCAGTTGTGATAAAATAGTTTAAGTAGACGACATTTTTTCACAAACGGAAAGGAAGTAAAGTGAATGAAAATGTGAGGCAGTGTTAATTTTCTTAACGAAATCTATGATGAAAATATTTTGTTGACAACCTTTTTTTCATGACCAAGACGAGATGACACCAACCTAATTAAATGATAACTGTGAGTGACTATATCAACTTGCAATATCGACAACAAAATATTACAGACTGTTCTTAACCAGCTTTTATTCTTTCTGTTGTTAGATGTGAAAATGTATTTAAAATGAAATCCCCCCAATCAGAGCTTATCTGTTAAAATTATAAATTTACCGCCCAGTGTTTTACTTAATATTTGCAATCTGGCAACCATACACATGTTCTCTCTACACTGCAGAAGAAGCGCAAATGATCTGAAAAGACGGATTTTAGTAGCACAATAAATGCACAATAAATCTGCCTCTGTGTGACAATACAGTCTTTTTATAGTAAACAGTGCAGCGCTTCCTGGTTCTACGTCAAAACGGTGCCTCAATTTTGGCTTGCTAATCTAAAACACTACATCAACAACAGCATAAGGTCACAGGAGAATTAGTATTCCTCACAGCCTCGTTTTCATTCCTGTCAAAAATTAAATATGGCGCATAACCTGCCTAAGGTTTTTTGAGAGTTAAAATGAAATACAAAATAAACAGTTAGGGAATAGTCAGCCACATGTAGGCTATACATTATATATATATATATATATATAGAAAGTAACGCTACATTAATTTCATTAATAAAATTATTAGCTTATTGTCTTCGGTGTTTTGACCTGTCAATGATCAAACATAGGACACCGAAAAAAATTGAAACATTTGGCATCTATTTACCATTCATGTGTTTCATTTGTTGTTTCTCGGTAGGCATATAGTTTTAAAACACTAACGTACCAGTATGTTCATTACATTGAATGACTGTTTAATTTGATCAAATTAAGAAGGATCTACTAATAGTACAAACATTTCAGTGATAAGCTGGAAACACCGTTAGCTTTTTTTTTTTCTCTGAAATCTGCAGTAGGGGTAAAATTATAAAATTTGACAACCAGATATTGATTGCCATGTCCCAACAGGGTTTGACTGTCCAGTTAGAGAACTAACAACCACCCCTACAAACGTGACATGTTTCACAACAGCCCGAATAACTCAAAATCTGTCTAAATACAAAAAATAAAACCAATCTGAAATCCACTTCCATCACTACAGTCCAGTGTTTACGGCATGGTTGTGAGTTTACAGGCTAACCGCTAATGCTAACAGGATGTGCTACTTAAACAGGATGCGAGGAGAAATAAATGTTTCATTTATTACCTTGGTTCCTTCCTTTTGGTCTGTACAAGCGCCCGTCAGGGTATAGATTATCTTCTTGGTAGTGTTCGAGGGTAACGTTAGATAACAAAGGGTATTCCGGAGTTTTAGTTGTGGCATCGTTTCTGAGAGGCAGATAGCCGTTTCATGCTATACTGACGGCTGGCTGCCCACTGCAAACACTCAGCGCGACTGACAGACACTAGACAAACACACAGTAGATCAGATCACCACACACACACACATCTGCGCCCGCCTACCACATGTGTTTCAATATTACAGCTGTGCAGCATGAAATATTCATTGTGTTGTTAGCTGAAACCAACCAATCTTTGTTTCACAAATTGTACCGTGTTATAATTACAAAATCATTTAAATGTGTATTAACTTGTCATACTAATTAATATAGGCCTATCTATCTATCTGCTGCAGTAGTAGCCTAAAATATGAGTTGTACAAATATGTGCTGTTCCAATCCCCTATCTTGAATATATCATCTTCTTAGTTTTCTAATCTGACTTATTTCTTCTTTGGCAATCACTCACTTGATTCTTTGTGTTTTCTGAGTCTTTGCAGATAAGCATGAATCACAAGCAGGGGTGGAAAGAATACTGAAAAAAACATAGGCTACTCAAGTAAAAGTATTCCAAAAAATATAGTGTGAGTAGAGTAAAAACTAGGCCTACTTGTCCAAAAAAAAAAAAACTACTTGAGTAAGAGAAAAAAAAAAGTAGCTTATTTAAAAGTACTCATGAGTAGTACCCTTATAATAAACACTGTGCACTACATTTTATAAATTTAAAAAAAAATTGCACATACTGTAATTCACATTATATTTTGTTCTTTGTAAGAACGATTGATTCTGTAGATTCTATCATCCATCTTTTTAAAATGCATCAAATCAGTACACTCATCACCACTTAAATCATATTATTTGGGGGGGAAAGCATTTAAAATTAGGCGAAAAGCCACTGGGCCTGAGCATGCTGTTGTTGCACATAAAATATCAATATTCATAACTGTGCAAAGAATTCAAAAACCTTTAGAAACTCATATGATAGTTCAGCATCACACACACCAAGAGATGGGTTAAGTAGAGAGATTAAAAAATACTCAATTTCTCTCCAAAACGGTACCAATGTTAGTGTTTTGATAAATGTGAATCACTAATATTATCAGATTACCTTAACTAATGCACTGAAAAAGGATAGTGAGCTAACACTAATTATACACACTTTATCCCATGCTACCATTTAAACGTAAATGCACATTGTTCTAGTGGCATCATCCCTTACATTTTACACGGCTGCATTTACTCACATTGTGCTGATAATATAATTTGTAAGAAAAATTGTGCATTAAATAGGGAAGTTATATCCAGGAAACTTTAAAAAAAGAAAACAAACAAACAAACAAACATAGGCTACTTTGTCTCTTTGTCTTTGAAGTCTCGGCGAAGCTGTTTTATCAGCAGCATCCACAAACAAAAACATGTTCAACATGAAAAATGTTTTTGCGCAAGTGCACTTGCCAAATGAAGACGGATCGTATAATGGATCAATCAAAAAACGCTGTTTATTAACGAGCTGTGCTAATTTCTTATTAAGACATGGTGCACTGATTCTGAATCTGGCCGCATGGCGAGCGCGAGACGCGGCAGTGCACAGATCGTGACGAGCGTCTCTCGTGATTGTGAAGTAGCCTAAATGGGAGCGGGAATTATGAACTCGTCACGCAATATACCCCCAACCTCAGACCAAATGTTAGGCCCTGTAGACAGGCCAGCCTATATAAATATCATAAGCAGAAATGTAAAATGTAGCCTACCTTAGCATATTGGAAGACACTGATATGAAGAATGTACTTCCACGGCAGTCACGAGTAGCCTAACAGCAGGAATAGGTTAAAGTTTTCGATTTGATGACAGTCACTAGACCGATTACTCGATCCAATCACGTTGATGGATAAAAATAAAATAAAATTAAAACAAGCATGTAACGAGTAACGACCACAAACAGAAGGAAATAGCGGAGAAAAAGTACCGATACATCACTCAAGTAAAAGTAAAATTACACAATTTTAAAATTACTCAAAAAAGTACAATTTCTGAAAAAAACTAGGCCTACTTAATTACAGTAACGTGAGTATTTGTAATTCGTTACTTTACACCCCTGAGTGCAACTGAAGAGACAGCAGCATTAGTCAATACACTTTGACATGGTTGAAACAAATTACACATAGCCCTACACGAAAGTTAAATGGGTGTTTTTATTCTGGTTATGCTGTCCAAAGCACAAAACAATGTTTAATTTAGACACGTCAAACAAAGTCTTTCTGGGTTACAAGTCTGATGATATGATAGGCCTATTTGAGTCTTTCAATTAATAACAAATAAGGTAGAAAATAAAGTAGAAAACCTAAAACTCCTAAAAACATTACATTTTCAACAAATAGCCACTGAAAAGAGGGTTAAAAAGTTTTGGTCAGTCGGATTTTTGCAAGAAATGGTAACACTTTAGAATAAGGTTAATTTGTTAATAACCTTAATTAACATCAACTAAGAATTAACAATACTTCTTCAGAATTTATTAATCTTAGTTAATATCAATTTAAACATTTTCTAATATGTTATTAAAATCAAAAGTTGTATTTGTTAGTTAATGCACTGTGAACTAACATGAACAAATATTAATAAATACTGTAACAAATGTATTGTTCATGGTTAGTTCATGTTAATACATTAACTAATGAACCTTATTGTAAAGTGTTACCCAATAAATGAATTATAAAAATAAAATTAAATTGATCAAAAGTGACAGTAAAGACATTTATAATTTCTATTTTAATTCATTTCAATTTCAAATAAATGCTGTTCTTTTGAATCTTCTATTCGTCAAAGAATCCCGAAAAAAAGTATCATGTTTTTTAAACAAAAATATTAAGCAGCAAAACTGTTTTCAATATTTACAACAATGATTAATGTTTTATGAGACTCAAATCAGCATATCAGAATAATTTCTGATCATGTGACACTGAAGACTGTGTTTAAACTATCTATTATTCTAGGTAAAAAGGTCAAATTTATGTCAGTTAATTGTTTATATACAGTAAAACACCAACAAAAACATGGGTTTCACAATAATATTTTCAACCAACATCATGTTTATTATTCATCTACTTTGTACAGAATCACATTATGACCACACTTAAACAGATCTGCCATACAAGTGTAGCATTGTGCAGTTTGAGTATTGTCCAGTATAAACAATGAACGAAGACTATCGTTTCACAATAGAGCTTCAGAAGAGGAATTAAGGAATGCTGAACGCAAACCACTGTGTCCTAATGTCTTCTGGGGAGTAACGCTATCTCTTATTGAGGAACGTTTAATGTACTTGGCCATCGGTCAGATAAACACACAGAACAGTCAACGGCTCCGAGGAAACAAGAGGATGAAGGAGTTTATTGTGATCCATCTCCTTAATCCACACTATGCAATACTTATCCATATACAGAACATTTCCTCATCATGGAGGCTGGGTTGTAAAATGGCAGCCAGGAATATCTTCATCAGTACACTGTGTAATGGACCAAATCAAAGAGAAGAAAGCGAGGAATGGCTATAATTGTAATTCCAGTAGGACTTTGATAAAGGAAGTGCAGATTCCGGAACATACGAGAACAGAGAAAGGCAATGATCTTCAACTCAATTACAGGAATGTCTCGGTTTTCCTTACTCTAAAGGAAACACACAAGCGTAGACTCTGTACAATAACTAAAGGTAATCTCTAAAGGAACATGAGTCATAAACAAATCAACATGCCTGCATGTTACATGACATCCTAACAATACACAACCTCTCCTTTGTACTGAACAACATAATACAGATATATGCACATTAGCCATTAAAAACTAAACAATTTACAAACACAACAGGGCAGGGTATTGGCACTGTTCAGGATCGCAAAGTGCTTGCAAGTTTGTGAACAGCAAAGAAAAAAAAAAGATCCCAAACCATTAAACATGAAAGATTAACAGTGTTTGAATTAAGTTAATTTTTGATCAATAATAAGAATGTAGTAGCAGTGATATTATTCTGATGGAGAACTCCTATATTCATTGTATGCATGTATTACTGTAAGTCCATCAGTTATGGTTAAGGATGTATGCATAACATGCAATGCCTAGTTTTACTGTTTGCTTTCTAAGTTATGTGAGGTTTCCGTTTAGAAAAGCACTGAAAGATTCAGTGTTCTAGTCCTATAATGTCATGTGATATTACACATGTGTACTGTATTGTTTTAATATAGGCTCAGTAATCCAATATTAAGTGGATTTATGTGACATAAAACAGGGAACTGTTTTCATAAATCGAGCAATGTATTTTTTTGGGAATCTTGGGAGTGGTCGGAACTATAATTGTGCCACTGTTAAGTTTCTTCTTGGTCCATTGGAACCATTAAGACTGCTACTATGTTGACCATAGTCACACATTGGTTAAAGAATCTCACATCTGAATTCTCTGCGTTGTGTTTTATCCATCAGAAAAGGGCCATATAAATGTGTTCCTCATGATTTGAGTGTTCAGATGTTCCGTAGCCCTCGCCACGGGAAGACATAAATCATAGGTGAGCAAAATGTCAGATCAAATAAAACGCTCATGGAAAACTGGTATTTGTAATTCTTTATAAACCCACAGTGCTGAAAGGAACAAGACAAAACGCAAGAATAACATTCACCATCCAATGACCTACGAGAAAGCTTGGCACTCACCGTTCAGTCAGAAAAGTTACAATGGATGACGGTGAAAAGAAACACCTGAATGTTGAATGTAACTTTAAGTGCTTGTAACAGTGAGTCCGTGAGAAGATATCAGACCGGCTTGTCATTCTTCACTGTGAATTTCTCCAGAAATATCAACAGAATGCTACTGAAGCAGTTGGGAATTCACTCCGCTTGGGAGATTTCAGTAGGTTTTTGATGCCCTCTATCGGTCACATGCTGAATCACTTCATTTCCAGGACATTTCACAACATAACGCACCTGAGCTTCTCTTCAAACCTCTGTGGAGAAGAGCATACTCTGACGTTTACTATCTGGAGTAGGGATCGTCTCCAGCTGCAGGAAGTATAGTAATACCTGGACCTATAGAGATGAAGAGGAACAATCAGACAACCAATAGATCAGCAGAACCATTATTTTGCTTAGGA